GTTACTGGCAGAACCCTTGTCAAGATTTTCTCAACCTTGTCTTCTTCAAGGATAATTCTTCCAAGAGACTTAAGTTCATTTGTTAGTGTTATGAACCTTGTGTACATCTCTTGGATGGTTTCTCCTTCCTTCATGGTGAAATTCTCATATTGAGAATACAGCAGTGTTCCTCTTGATCTCTTTACTTGAGGAGTTCCTTCATGGGCCACTTGTAGAGTGTCCTACATCTCCTTAGGAATGGTACAGCTTTGAATTCTGATGTACTCGTCTGGACCTAGTCCATACACAAGCCATTTCTTGGCCTTGGCATCTTTTCCCATTTCTTCAAATCTTCAGCACTACAGTCAGCTCTCGTCTTTGGCACGTCCACTCTTCAGCATTCTTCTTTGTAGTAGCCAGGGGACCATCAGTAACAATGTCCCAAAGTTCATAGTCTTCTCATATGATGTGGTCTCTCATCCTGTTCTTCCACCAGGAATAGTATTGGCCATTAAAGAGTGGAGGCCTAGCAGTGGATTGTCCTTCCTAGTTTCCAGGTGGTGCACTCATCTTGATATGTTCCTAAGATGTTAGCCTCTTCAAGGATAACCTGCTCTGCTACCAATTGATATTTTATACGTCAAACCCACACAGGGGGGGGGGTGATTTGTGTGGTACCCAATTTTCGCTTAACTTGATTACAGCAGGACTTGGTTCTTCTATATGTTTCAACTACTACTGTCGCAGAATAATAACTACAGAAAATAAAGAACACAGAGATCTTACGTGAAAAACACCTGGCTCAAAAGGTGAAAAAACCACGACCTACCTTCCAGTAGGATTTTCCCAAACTCTCCACTAAAATCACTGAGCCAAAAACTGCATTTACAAAAACTCTTTTGTAAACCTAGGATTAACTCTAATCCCGTTGTGGCACACAGCCTCAACTGTTGCGACAACTTCAAGTTAACTCTAACTTGAAAACTCTAAGTACCTAATACAATTGCTTCTAAATAAGCTGAAAGGTACAATGTAAAATCACCTACTACAATTGAACTAGAATAAAAGATAGACTCTTGGAACTGGTTCTTCTATCTGGTTCAAGTAGCTTCAGGATTGCACGCTTGAATCACTCATAAATTGCTTGCAAAATTGCCTTGCTATTTTGCTCTCAATTCACGTTTAACTTCTGCTTATGTGCATTACCTGTAAAAGAGAACAACACTAATATTTAAGGAGTTAGCAATTAGAGATTGACTAGGATACAGATGCTACTCTTCCATGGTGAAAGAGTTCTAGTTGATCTCATACTCTAACTCTATCCGTTTCCTAAACCGTGTTCTCTTTATGTAAGGAGTATTTCTCCTTATCCAATATGCAACCTTTTCGATCATGATCAGGAGATAACACTTCTGATATGTTAGGTTTATCTCCTTCACGTGCATCTCACATGTTTGAATTGATCATAACTATGCTTCACATGATGGACCTGGTCCATGTCTGAGTTCCTTTTGTCAGTCTTCAAAACTTCACCTTTACTTGGGCCAATATATATATCTATAACACGGTTCGTTGTACTACTTTAACTACATATATAGCATGTTATATTATATGTTAGTGTATTCATCCCTTGTATTACAAAAGTGTTAGCGGATTACATTTATATTATTTAGATAGTAAATATAAAAGTGATTTAAATTTTGACCAATGTTGACCTAATAACCGACCAAAGTTGGTCGGTTATTTTCTAGATATTAAAAAATAGCGACCAAAGTTGGTCGGTAAATGCTTCCCCTGTATTAACCGACCAACTTTGGTCGGTAATTTTAAATAATATTTCTTTATATTTTATAAAAAAATTTAAATAATAATATAACTATTAAAATTTTATAAATGGGTCCCACATTACCGACCAAAGTTGGTTGGTAACGTGAAAATTTCTTTGACTACATAAGTCTGACCAGCTCGGTCAACCTGTTGACCACATTACCGACCAACTTTGGTCGGTAATTTATTTAAAATAAATATAAAATATTTTTCTCCCCTTTACCAACCAACTTTGGTCGCTTATCTGGACAGACCAATTTTGGTCGCAAAAGTTTGGTCGCTAATTTCCGGATTTCTAGTAGTGAGAGGAAGAAGATGTGAAGCATAAGGAGAAGTCGAGAATGTCGTCGTCCTCCTTCTCCGGCTATAGTTCTGAGAGTTATCCTTACTGAATTTAAACAAAGGTATATAAGTCTTTTGCAGTTACCTTGCGTTCCTTGCTAGTATTTTAACGCTTGGTTGACTATAATTTTGCAAACATTCAGAGTTATCTTACAGTATATCTACCTAAATGACCCTTTATCCATTTTCATTCATAATCCTGATAGAGCTATAATATAAAATGGAGCTTTTATTATTTGCGGAGTTAATTTTTTTTACTTTACCAAATTATTTTTAAATACTTGTTAAAGTTATGAATTATTAACTATAGTGACTTTTTATGTAGCTTTTGTATATCAAAATTTTATTTTAATTTTTTTGAAGAATCGACGAATTCACATCAAAATTTAAGTAGTTTTACTCTCGTACACATAATTTTACCTAAAGAAAGGGAGAGAGTAGTGAAAATTGAGATCAAGAATTTAGGCTACAACAACATCATACCCAGTGCAATCCCACAAGTGGAGTCAAATAATAAGTTTTACCAAATTAAAAATTATTTTCTCAAATAATATAGATGAAGCAAATAGAGAAATATGAATCTTGATAAGTTACACAATCAATTTTTGATTGTATATTGGTTTAAGATAAACGAGTGCCTGCTAGAAAGGTCTGAGCTATAGTTAAACCAATGGTAAAAATTAAATAACAGCAAGGGACAAAAGGAAACTCCAGGGACTATTAAAATACCTTTGCTTAAATTCAGCAAGGACGACTCTTAGAAGGTATCTTTAATTAGCATATAATGTGTATACATGTGTATTACATTTATTAATATCCCTAAGGCAATTGTTCTCTCAACCTTATAATTATTGTTTTTCTTGATAAAGTGGCTAGCACGGACCTTGATTATTCCACCAGTTAGCAGGTATCAGGTAACTTTACATTGACAAGGTAAAAATAGATGAGAAAAAACCAACAAAGGTGTCTCTACTAAAATCGAACCTAGTATTCCGTGATTTTAACCCAGCTCATTAACTGCTAGGTCACACCCTTCACCATTATAGCCTTCAGTCGTTGCAAACTCACTGGCTGCTTCAGATTGATTCAGAATTGAAAGTGCTGAAACGCATTGGTGCTTCAATTCTTGCATGACAAACCATTGTCTAGCTGTTGTATTAGTATATGCCTCATTGCATGTAAAGAATTATCATCTTGATGATCTTATGCCAATTGATCTATCTCCTTACATTGTCTAATTAGTTGATCATTTGGGATTCCTCTCTGTTGCTGGAAGGACATGTGCTTGTAAAGATCAGCTCCCAACTATGGTGAAAAGCATAAACTAACACAAAGTTGAGAAAACTACTGGATGCTTGACAACAGGAGCAAAAGAAACACCACACCCTCTTCTAATTTTTGCATTAAGTAGTAGCATTGTTTTGTTATCCTACTAAAGTAAGATCTTTAGTCATAAAAACATATTGACGCTTAAACTGGTGGAGTAGGAAGGCATGAAAACATAATTTTTGCACTCGAAACTTGATGACTGATTTTACTAAGCTTCACAAAGTACTCCCATTTTTATTTTGGTTGTCCATTTATATAATCAAGAAAAAATTCGAAGTTGTTTTTCCAAAATTATCCTTATGTACGTATAATTTAATATTGTGGGCCGGAGGGAGTAACATGGCTCAGTCTCCAATGGTTCTCATCGTGGTACTTGTGGACACTTAACCCTTGAAGAATAGTTTTTGACAAATCAAACCGAATTTGATTGAGACATTCCTACAAGAAATTATGATTAGTATGCTTGCAGTTAGGTACCAGTGGAAGAACTTCAACCAGTCAAAAGTATTGCTATAGCGAAGCTCTCTGTCTTAAGAGTTGTGCCCATTCATTCAATAAGTTCGGCCTCTGTTTATGTTCCCAATTATCAGCGTGTTTGAGTTGATAATTGATACAAATATGTTGGTTATATGAACTCGAACAATAATATATCGGTGGTTGACTTGTCTATCTGGAAGAACGATTATGTCAAGTTTCCACTTTCAACTAAATTTGTATAAGTTGTTGGTAAGAACGATGCGTCTCTCTCTCTCTCTCTCTTTTGAAATGACGATCCAAAGGCACTTGACTCAGGTTTTACGACACATACCATTTCGTCTTTGTTAAGAAATTTCATTCATTCAGGCAACTAGCTTTGCACTTCAATTAGCATCTAGACGAGTTTCGAGTAACTAAATAAACTTCAGGATTGTAAGTTCCCTCGGATCTCGACGACAAACAGACAAGATTGCGTGGTGCTCCACACAGCATTTCTTTCTCTTAAATTTATATTGCCAGCTTTTATCCCCATGATGTAACACTCATTTTTTCCCCGAGTGATGTAATACTCTATTCATCTTATAAAGTTCTATAATGGTTATCGGATTACATTATTAGTATTATTCTATTTGATTTTCACCACCTTTAAAGAATTCAAATTTAGTTGATTCTTGAAATTTTAATCTTAAACCAAATTTCCTCTATCAAATGCTTTATAATCTTTTCAGTTAATTGCCACCAGCATAATGCGTAAATCAACATGCGAATTAGGATTAAGGGTGCTCTTAAGTCGGTATATGGTGCATGCCACTTTTATCAAATGGGAAGGCGGAGTCTCATCTATGCATGCAGTATTCTCTGAAATTGGGAGTTTTCAATACCCGGAATTATGAACCTAGGGCTTCCTCCAGAAGCTTGCGTCCAAAACCAGTTTCACCAATCTTTGAAGCTTGAGAAACTTTTTCTTAAAAGCAAAAAAAGGTTTCATTAAACTTGTTAGAAGAAAAAATTTCTTGAGGCAAGAAGCGCTTCATCCAACTTCGAAGTTTCAAATCAAAATTTTTCTCATATAAAAGCCAACTCATTCTAAATGTCTAATCTAAGTCTGAAAGGGCCAGTTTTCAAAATTTCCCCAAAGAAAAGGAACACGGGATCGGTATGTTTAAACTGTGCAACTGCCTCTCTCACTGATTTTCTGTATTAAAGAAAAATGATACCTCCTGAATCATGTCCTACCAGTAAGTTCCCCACCTAACTTCATTCTCTTTGGAGCCGGAGCTTCCAACATCCCCCCAGACCTCCATTGTTTGGACATATCGTGCAGGAATGGACAAGTGGTGCCATTTAGGCATCCCCTTGGTGTATTGAAGAAAACACAATGCTTCTGAAAATTCAGGCTGTCCTGCTTTGATTTTAGGTTCTTTAACGGTTCTGGTCCTCGCGTATTACCATAAGGAATGATATTTTGTAAGATTTCTTGACCCACAGATTCACGATTTTCTCCATGTTGCTTGATCAGGGATTTGTAGTAATTGATATCCTTCTGTAGAGGGGCAGGACTAGTCATCGAGGAGAAAGGGGATGTGTGGCCAGCATTTGATGAATACGACTTAATTTGCAGCTCAGGCTGCAAAGCAATAGGAAAATTTGCCGTTGATGAAACCAGTGAAGGAACCAACTCAGAATTGACCAAGGGCTTCTCTCCTATATTGTCAGGTGCTCCATATTCATTAATCAGTTTCTTAATCTTTTCCAAATTTAGGTCTGAAGTGGGGTGAACTAATGGCTTACTCTCTCTAATGTCTGCAGTTCCTACATGAGCAGAGGCCCTTTGTTCATTAACCAAATTACTTTTCACGGATGTTTCAGGCTTAGAGATAGCCAAGGGCACAGATTTTGCCATTGCCTTTGGTCCAAAGATTGGTCCAGATCCTGCATGGGGAGCTTGGTATTCACTAATGGGCTTGTTAATTACCTTATCAGGTTTTGTCCTAGGCAAGGGAACCAGTAGATCCACTGACCTAGACATGGCAGCAGTTCCTCTTTGTTCATTAATATTTCTTACCTCCAGTGACCGAGAGAAGACGGTTGCACCAGCAACAGCAGATTTGCAATTTTCATTACCAGCTATCTGCTTATCCAGAGAATCAGCTGACCTTGGTGTGCTACTAGAAGGAACAATAGGCTTTGAGCCAGATGCAGCACCAGTTTCAGGATTGGTAGCCACTCCGTGTTCGTTCATCAGTTTCTGTATCTGTTCTGGGTTGCTAAGAAGCTTAATCAAGAAGTCAGTATCAATCAGACTACCCTGCTCTTGACTTTTTGCAAGTGCAGCTACAGCTGCGGTTACAGCAACCATCAAATCACCCTCAAAACCATGTGGCATCTTCTCGAGGATAGATTTTTCATTAGCAGGTGGATTTGAACAAGCTTGAGTTTTGCACTGAGGGGCACTCAGATTTTCAGTATTTGATTGATATTGGGGCACACAGATGACATTAGCAGGTGGCTTTGGAGAAATTTGATTCTTGCACTGAGCTGTGTTCAGATTCTCATATGTTGAATGACACTGGGTAGCAGGGTTGTGGTTAGCTAGGGACTTTGGCAAAACTTCAGCCTGGTGCTGAGGAATCTTGGGATTTTCAAATGTGGATGGAAACTGGGTGACAGGGTTGTGATTAGCAGGTGGCTTAGGAGAAATTTGATGTTGCTCAGTTCTGTTCACACTTCGACATCTTGAAAGATATGGAGCAGATTGCCCATTAACAGGCAGTCTAACACAAAAAGGAGAGTTACTCTGAGGTAGCCTGAGATCTTTGGACGTTGACAAAGCCTGGGGAAACGATTTTCCACTAGCAGGTAGCTTTTGAGTAGTATCTATACTGATAGATGATGATGAACTGTTAGGCAGGCATGGGTCTAACAATTTGCTGCTGATGTTTTGGGATGGTGTAGAATGGGACAAACCTTCTGCAACTGCCGTTTCTTCAATGGGAATGATTGGAATCACTCTAGTTTGGTTATCATCATAAAATTGGTCCAGATACGACGAGGTGGAAGGACTATAAGCCAATAGGAGAAACCAGGGATCACAATCAAGTAAATTGGGACAAAAAGCTATAAATCTAAAAGATAGTCCAAAAAATACATACTTGGGAGGAATTGCAGACCGAGAAGGATAAACTGCTTCAAGCACTCTCTTTTCCCTATGCTTCTGAGCCTCTGCTTCTTTACTTTCTTCACCAGCAACCATACACCATCTCTCATTCAAATTAAACTACCAATAACAGCATTAAATGGGCTATTACAACAATGTGTGCAGAGACCAGGCAAATAAAGGGAACATCCTATCATAAAAAACTTAGATTACCTTGGGAGGGCACTTCCATTTAGCCAGAGGTATGTAAGGAAGCCTCTCTTTTGGTTGCTTCAGACAATGTCTTCCTTCAAATGATGGTCTAAGCGACGGCTTCAACTGAAGATGATGTTGAGATCCCCTACCGACTTTTGATGGGCAATCCTCTTGTAGGAAATGTTTTACCTATTACAACAACAACAACAAACCTGGTGAGTTCCCATAAATGTTTTACCTATTGAATGGTAAATTATGCACAATTGCCAAGGAGAACTAGGAAAAAACTAAAGCATATCAATGTTCTTGATAAGTAAAACTGAAAGCATGTCAATCTGGCATGTCACGAACAAAATACTACACTAAGACTATCTCCTTGAAAAAAGGAGGGGGAAGGGGGGGGGGGGTTAAAAAGAATACAGTAACGGCAAAAATCCACTTCTTCATGTTTGCTTTGCCTTCAAAAAGTGGGAAACGATTGTCAATTAACAACTCAAACATTTAGGTGCCGCTGTGATGATCTGCTATGGTTCTCAAAAGCTTAAATACCAAGGTGCAATCAGCGACCACTAAGCATGACTCTTGAACAAGGGATGAACTTTTACCAATCAGGTCTAGTTTAAAAAAGTCACCATGACATTGACAGATTATAATAGGCATAATCATAAAAGAACTATTTAGTGTACGATGATATGATCACTGACACCATAACCATTACTTTGATTCAGCATCATCTGATCTTGAAATGCCTTTAATTACATTTTGTTATATAAGTGACTTGAAAAAGTGCTTTTGTTCAGTTTTCCTTTTTCTGTCCAAATACATTTAATGGCAAGATTCTCAGCGAACTTTTTCATGCTCTTGAGTCTTGAATCTCCGGATCTACGACTGACCCACTAGTAGAATCTCGACATACTTTTTTTGTGCACTTGATTCTCCTAACCTGCCACTAATTTTGTTCTTCAGATCATTATTTTTAAGAATGGTAACAGCTTATATATAAAGTATCAGCACAAAGGGAAGTGCTGCAGCCATATCTATAGTTCAAAAAAGGAAAGCAAAAGTGAGTCCTCGTTCTTCATACAAGGATACTGTAACATCTAAAAGTGAGCTTACATCATCTAAAAATCCTCTTTACACCACAAATGAAACAAAAGAATGCAATTCATTTATAACATTTTTGGATCACTTCTTGGTCCAATTCATTTATAAGGCCACATATGGCAGCTGTCTTTAATTTTCCTTTCACGAATTAGTATAAATGAATTACTGCCCTTTTTGTCTTCTTTCCTCTAATAAGCTCCTTTGCCTTTTCTTAAGAAGAAAAAGTTTCTTTTTTGTTTTGGATATTTAAGAGAAAATGATGCTTAAGAAGGTTAACTTGCAGATTTATTCCCCCATTTTTTCAGTTGACAAGTAAATAGAGCATACGTCAATAATTTTCTGATTATTCAACACCAATTTATTCTATTTATATTGCTCTATATAGCTATAAAATTGTTTCAGAAATTTTTGCAAGGAAAAAATTCCCTAACGGTTCGATTACAAAAAATATTTCAATCAAGATGTCTAAACCTGGTCATAAATTCCATATTTACCTTTTAGTATGGTCTTATATGGGGAAAACAGAGTTAAAAAAAATTCCACAAGATTAAAATCAAGATTTTGTTCTTTCCACCAAAGCCATCTTCATTTGATGGGCAAAATCTTACATGGTTCTTTCTTTCATCAAATGTCATGAAGTTCTGCCATGTTCAATCATGGCAGATTAGCAACTAAAACTTCAAAGTTAGGTTTAAATATGACTAAATTGTCATGGAAATGGGGCATAACTTCCAAGAGTCTTCATCCCAATTTGTTTTCCTTTTTGACTTAGCACGAGTAAGGAGGAGTTTAAAGTGCAATTAAAACCTAGAACATGAATGGACATTTGGGCTAAAAATAGATCTTATGCCACTGTAATAACTTTTAGGACAAACATTTCTTAGAAATCCTTTAGGAAGTGACATACTGAAAAAATGTGATGAATAGTGTAGAAAGAGTAACATTTCTTAGAAATCCTTTAGGTAGAGAGATACTGAAAAAATGTGATGATAGTGTAGAAAAAGTTTTAAGCACAGAACAATGGACAACCAGTAAGGAGGTTGGGGCAATCTACTTGAAACTTTGAGGTTAATATATAGCATCCAAGCAGTAGTTTTTTTTACGTAAATTACCAAATTTTTGGGACTTCAATGGAGATGACAGTATCCAAGCTGAGGGAATTAGGCTTTGGAAATCGTAACAATGTATCAATCTCATCAGTTTCCTTCATTTACGATATGTTTACAGTTCTTGCAGCTGTATTTTACAAGCACCTTCGCAAGATAGAGTCAGTTGAAGAAGCTTCTCAGTTGATACCAGCTTAACATGGGCTGATTTACTGCCTTATTGCACATTTGGTCTTTCCGCCAAACTAAGTATTTTATGTACATATGTCCTAAAATTAATTTAATATTATCTGCCGGCTCCCATGCTCCAAAAAGGTAAAATGGTGCACTTGGTTGACTGTTGAGTTATTTAACTAAAGGATTAGGGATCGATCCCCACGTAATACTTCCTTTTTTCTCCTTTTCTTAGTGGTGTATCCATGTTCCAAAAATCCTGATCCGCCTCTGGAACTTAAGCAAGGAATTTGTTAGCGTAATAACATTTATCAAGTTACTTCCCCTCCTTGCATTACCATTCATTATGTATCTTGTTGATATCTTCAATAAATATAAGACCAAGAACATAATTCATTAAAAGTTCTCAGCCAAAATGTAATTCAACTGGTGGGTTGGGAATTGATGTGATTCTAAATGGGGATTTTTTAATGAATATTGTGTATGATCTGCCTCAAGATGCATCTTTCTTGTAATATATTATATCCCATTCTAAATCTCTTGGCTGAAACAGCAGAGACACATCACTTAAATAAACCTGCTCCTCTCCCAGTGTCATTTCTTATTTTGCATCCACACATGTAGCAAATATGCTGAGGAACGAGCATCGTGTATGATCAAATTGGTAAATAAAAAGCTTCTAGTAACTGTTTACCTGAATGATAATATGGACGAGTTCGACATTCACCTTGACGCTTGATAGTACTTTTCTAACATTTTAAGTTGATTTAAATGCATGTAAGTTCCCTTTCATAAGTTCTTTTCTTTATCCGCAAAAGAATATTCTATAGAATAGCAGCACTAAGCATGTGCTGTGGCGTTACAAACAAAAGTATTTACATTCTTTCCTAATTCAAAATATGCGAACCTTATGTTGTCTGTCTTTAGTCTGCCACTAGATATTACTTCTTTGTTTCACTCTTCCTTCAGATAAATTTAAGTTCCTGTTAACAAGTTAGATACCTGTATTTTACATTGTTCGATCATGTGTAATATAAGAGCTTCGGGCAACTGTTTACCTTAACAATCATAGACAAGTTCAGCCTTTATCTTGAAACCGAATAGTACTTTCTCCCTCTCATTGAATATTGTCGGTCTTTCATCTTGTCAACAGATATTAATCCCTCCGTCCCAATTTACATGACTCTTTTCATTTTGGAACGTCCTAAAAGGCTTGAAACCATTTCATTTCTTATACAAATTTCATAAATTCAAATTCAATAGACTATTCAAGTCTATACTTTGACGTGTTGTTTTCCTTTTTTAAACTTATTTCCGAACATTAATACAGTATTTCTTCTACTATCACTAATATACCAAGCAAGTTAAACTTCATGTCCAATCAAATACTATCATATAAAAAAGGATGAATATCAATAAAATCATTTTGACTTGCATAGAAAAATGTATGTTTGCCTGAATTCTTGTAATTACTAGTGCAAAGCAATAAAGACTAATTAACAGCAATAAATCAATATGATAACTAATAGACAGACACGCACCAAGAAGCCTTATTAACTACATGCTCTGGTGTCATCCAATTATAAAAACACAATGGCACTTAAAATTTGAATTTTAGCAAATATTGATGAAGACCGATACCTTTCAACCAAAAGGATAAACAGCAAAGTCAAAGCTCAAAAGAAAAATCAGTGGCCACTAAGCCTTACAAACCTAACAGCTGAAAACATTACTTCTTGGCGGAAAACCAGAAGTTTCCTTTGTCTACATCCACTTCCATGAACCTAAAGACACTAATACACAACTTAAATAATCTGCTGGGTACCTGCTACCTCCCTAAAGTTCCAAATTTTATCTCACCCTTCTCTTTACCCTTTAGTCCTATGAAAACCCTTAATCTCCTTTTCCAGATTTACAGTCCAGAATAAACCGACCTAAAACTGATTGCAATGTTTTTCTACAATCCTTCCACTCACATGTAACATAAAATCACTACATCAGGCAGCCAAACTAAAATAAACTAATACAGGTAACGCAACACAGCAAAACTAGTTATCATCTATTTATCTACGAACAGAGGCTAGCCTGAAACTGACTAAATACTGAGGAATAAGAAATCAAAAACAGGCATAAAATTCGTGCACTAAAAATACACTGTATACAGTAATGCGGTGTATACCTGACAAAGATTAGGTCCAGTAGCCCACGAAACCCTGTTTGATTTCTTCAATTCCATGAAATCCCTTTATGAGTTAATTATTAGATTCGAAAACACTCAAATTTCTTTTAGATAAAAACGAATTGTTTCCGCCTCCAGAGTATTAATGCAAGTTACCTCTGCGTTCTGGAAAAAGTTAAGAGAATACAAGTCGGAAGCTGAGATTAGAGTAATCTACAGAATGCGAAAACCCTAGAAGTTGAAAGGCGCTACGGGGATGCAGTTTTGTTATATGGCATTGGCTGCTGCTGGAGTCTGGAGAAATCGTTACACTTCTTTTCAGGTTTAGCGCTTACAGCTCATCATCATGTCTTTTTATATTAAAAAAGAAATAGTAGTACCTACATTTATTTGGAATTTAGTCCTTTTTCTCTTTGGATTGTGCTCTCCTTTACCCACCCGTGGATTTTGTTTGCAATATCAATTGCTTTAGGAATGCATACGTCATTACGTAGTTGTTTTATTTTTTTTATATTCTATTTTATTAATATCTTCCTAAATTTCATGGTGCTGTCTACTTTAGGGGTGTTCGCCGGTCGGTTTGATACGGTATTTAAGCATTTCGGTTCGATATTTTCGGTATTCGGTTTCTTAAAGTCCTATACCAATACCCGTACCTAATTAAATTCGGTATGATTCGGTTTTTCTCCTTTCGGTTTCGGTTTATTCGGGTCGGTAACTTTGGTTTATTCGGTTTGAATACTAACTAGTGCATAGAGCCATACATAGGGGTGTTCATAAAAATTCGAAAATCCGAACCAAACCGAAAATCAAACCAAACCGACCAAAAAACCCGATACTTTTTGGTTTGGTTTGGTTTTGGTTTTGAATTTTAAAAATCGATCAAATTTGGTTTGGTTTTGGTTTTAATTTAAAAAAACCGAACCAAACCGAATATAAGAGTAGCTATTTTAAATTTATTATTACACCTATATATATATATGTATACTTTTATACAAAGTTTTAAATTTTTTATAGTAAATATTAATCATTTGCACTTTTAGTACAGTTCTTTACCTTTACATTCTAGTTTAATTGGTAGTTTTCTTTTGTTAAGTGTAAGAATCTATTTCGTGTTTAAAATAATATATTTTTAACTGACTCCTTAAATTATTCGTCACTATTTGATTCAATTATCATCAATATATCTTTGTAAATAATATAGATTACTCAAAGGGCAATTGATTTGATAGTGTTACGTTGAAAATGTGGTTGCCGAAATGTGTGTTTGGTAGTGTATGTCTTATATTTAAGAAAAAACCGACAAATAACCGAAAAAATAACATAAACCAAATCGAGAAAAAACCGACTTAATTAGTTTGTTTGGTTCTAATATTTGAAAGATCGACTTACTTGGTTTGGTTTCTTTTTAGGGAAAAACCGATCCAAACCGAACCATGAACACCCCTAGCCATACACTCTAATATTCTTAATTAAAGTACTCAAAATACAAAACTGAAAATGTTTGGTGACAAAAAATTTGTCCAAAACTAGCAAATATCGACCCAAATAGAGAAAATTGTACATAAAAAAATATTTGATCATTAGAAATGTCTCGTTACTTGTTTAGAGTTAATTGATGAACTTTGAGAATAAAGGAAAGTAAAATTTAAAATTTTTTATATTTATGGTATAATTGATAATATGTGTTTATAAAATACCAAATACCATACCTAATACCAATTTTTTTTACAAACTTAAACCAAATACCATACCAAATACCAAAATGCCGTATAACAAATACCAAAATTTACGGTATCGGTACGATAATTCGGTATTTACCAAATTATGCACAGCCCTAGCCTACTTGCGCTCACCTCCCCTACTTATTACGATTTCCTATCATTACCTATACCAGATAATTCTGTTCATTAAAATTTAAACAGATAAAACTAAATCATATAACAGTACTAGTGTTATAAATAGAATTGTATTTATGGTGAATGTCTATATTTAGAGAGATTCTAGGGTTTATTACTTAGTGGCTAAGTCACTCTCTCCCTATAAATAGAGGGTTCTATTCTATTGTAATTCATCCCAAATCAATAAGAATTCTCTCTCCCTACTTTTCTCTGCAATACTTTTCTTCTTCTTTTATTGTTTTATAACACGTTATCAGCACGATCAATATGATATAACACTTCATAAAATCTCATGAGAGATTCAGGTACCTGAATATATGAATGAAGAGATCTCTATGTTATGTCTTTATGAAAAATAAGAAGGTTGGAACCGATATAAAATGTTTGTCGACGATATTGATTATAGCACTAAATATATATGAGGATCTTAAGTTTGTCGCCTACAGACACAAAAATATTGGCCAAATGGAAGAGACACAATTCGAATAGAATTGGTTTTAAAAGAAAGACATGTAGTTTTGAACATGTAGTTCAAACACTTGAAAGTATAAAGTCAATGGTATGTGCAATCAGTTTTTGATATCTTATATGTCTAGCATGACATGAAAACTTGATATGCATCTAAAGTCTATTATATGACTTATATGACTTAACTTATATGACAATCCTTGAAGGATTTAAATCGTTTGAAGCATATACGATTCTTGGTCCTGAAGTACCATATGGTAAGTGTAATTTGTGCACATATGTATCTTGCTATAACTATAAGCATGATAATGTGATAGCGAGGATTTTCAAGGTGAAACATATTCATTGGAGTTAATATGGCAATTTTACTCATCAAATCTCTGCCGACGTCAACCTTCAAGAAGCTAGTGCACAAGATTGGAATGCAAATGCTTAAGGATGTGAATTGATGCTCTCATCAGGGGGAGTTAATACGCGTTGTACTCTTTTTCCCTTACAAGGTTTTGTCCCACTGGGTTTTTCTTGCAATGTTTTTAACGAGGCAACCAAAAGGCGTATTGTTAGATATGTGTACTCTTTTTCCTTTACTAGAATTTTTTTTTTTCCACTGGGTTTTATTTTAGTTAAGGTTTTAATGAGGCACATTATCTGTTGAATAGACATTCAAGGGGAAGTGTTATAAATAGAATTGTATTTATGGTGAATGTCTATATTTAGAGAGATTCTAGGGTTTATTACTGAGTGGCTAAGTCACTCTCTCCCTATAAATAGAGGGTTCTATTCTATTGTAATTCATCCCAAATCAATAAGAATTCTCTCTCCCTACTTTTCTCTGCAATACTTTACTTCTTCTTTTATTGTTTTATAACAACTAGAGTTTAAACACATTTGTTCCATAGTTATATTCCTGCTTCCTCGAACATCAAGGAATAAATCATAGGGGTATACCATTACTAGATTTCATTACTCATTACAAATAGTTGCATGTTTTACATTCATTTGATGCACATATACTAATTATAATAGGTTTAACTGTTTTGTTTTGTAAAAGTTTGCTCATAACTCCGATTGAATTTATATTTCACGAGTCAATAGAAAAAATAAACAAATAAAAAATAATTAATTAGGTTTCCTTTTAGATGAAACGCGACCCAAATTGAACCATCACACCCTTAACACCGCTAAGCAAAGCATTCCCAAATTAAATTTGAGGTCATGGGTTTCCATTAACTATCCCATTAAGCAAGGTTAGATCTTCTCAAAGCATGAGTAGTATTTTTATATTAGCAGTCTCACTTTTTTGTTGGTAGTAGATTTTTATTAACTAACCGTTGTTTTCTTTCATTGTGATCATCTTACTATCTTGTTATCTTTATTCTGCTTTTTATATGGCTTTTGGGCTACCCCTTCTTGTCTATACTTTCATTAATGTGGTGTTTATGCTTTCCTGAGCCGAGGGTCTATTAGAAACAATCTCTCCATCCTCACAAGGTAGAGGTAAGGTCTGTGTACACACTACCCTCCCCAGACCCCACAGTGTGGGATAATACTGGGTATGTTGTTGTTGTTGTTTACAGGGGCGTACGCGAGAATTTTTGTAAGCGGTACCGAAATTTGTAGAAGAAAGGAAATATTAATTTTAACTATCCTACTTATAGACAAAAAATAACATTAGTCTGCTGAGTTTGTTGAGTTTTAAGTTAGAAAAGGTCCTGAGTTCAATTCTACTTCATCATATTTTTTAACCACAGATGCTCTTAATATGCTCGTCGAGGTTTGAACCTCTAACTCTTTGAGCAAAATCAAAACCTCTAACCTCTTGGAGCAAAATCAAGCACATAACAAAGAGACAATTGCATGGGATAAAATTCGAACAAGGAAATTTGGTATGAAGAGGCGATTATCACGACGATTACAACTCGGTGTAGGGGGCTTGGCCGAAGTCGAGCAGTGATCAATAACGAGAACGAATCATCACGTGGTGCATCTGGGCCGAAGTCGAGTAGCGGGAATGAAATTAACGGCTGGTACAATCTTGGAGCTTTCAAAAGGAATATTCCCTCGATTGTACTTCTAGGGTTCTTTAGGAATATACCCCAAGGATATATAGAGGAAGAAAGAGAAAGGGTGGGGGATTCGTTTTTGGGAGATAAGAACACAATTGTAAGATAAGCACTCAAGAAAAATACAAGAAACCACTTTTAGTAGAGATTTGACCTTTTTTGTGAATTATTCTATTGTCATTTCCATCAAATCCAAGAAAGTGTGCAATATTCTCTAACGCTCGTGTCATTCAACATTGTGAGGGAAAAGAATCATTCTCCCTATTCAATATTAGGTGCATTTTCTCCTCTATTTATATTTAATTGCCATTTAATATAGTTATTGTTTATCATTGCTCTTTCACTCACTCTTAACTGCATCATTTAATACCCATCGAATGAAATTGGTTTGAAGACACTTTCACGTCACTTGTATAAAGACATTCAGATCTAGAGTTCATTACGTTTAACTAGGATTTATCCATCATTCTCTTGTTTAATTAGTTTAACAAAAGGTTTCATACTTTTTTGTCAAATAATTTGGCGCCGTCTGTGGGAATTTTCTAGTTAAAATTTTAGTTTGCTCTAGATCTATAACGTAAAACACGCAACACTTCTTTGTGCACAACATCAATGAAAACGATGAAACGGAGGCGAGGACATAACACCCGACGCATCTACTCGACGAGATGGCTCACCTCTTCCCCATGGCAGCATCACAACATCACACGGTAAAGGGGCCTCTACATCCACAATGGAAGAGGCACCACCTGCATTGAAGAAACTGCTCGAGGCGTAGTTGACAAACGCACTGACCGGCATTCTCGGCAAACCCGCTCAGAGGCCGAATAGAGAAGGCGCAGAAGTTCGCGTTGTATCAACGCCAAACAAACAACACGCCCCCACTATAACAGGTATTACTCAAAATGTTAGTGATGCAGGCAACGACACCCCGGCCATTTTGAGGAAA